AACATCTTACATTCCAAGTTTGGAAGCTGGAATGCTTTCACCAATTATAATTTTGCCTACAATGAAAGAATTTGGCTGCTCTGGAAAAAAAAAGAATTGATATCAGCTTCTGCAATTCTTCTGACCAAAGTATCTCTGTCAAATGCAACTTCAATAGTACTACATTCTTCCTCACTGCCATCTATGGTAGTAACAATGGCACTTCTAGAAGAAACCTTTGGCAACACCTTAGAAGTCTTAATTCGCAATTTTATTCTCTCCCTTGGATTCTCGGAGGAGATTTTAACACTTACCTCAACTACAATGAAAGCTCTGACTTTGACCTTTTAGGTCCTTATCTCTCCACTGATATGAAAGACTTATCTGAAGTGGTTCAAAACCTCATTCTTCAAGGCCACCCATTTTGTGGCCCTACCTTTACTTGGAGTAACAAGCAAAAAGAAACCTTCCTTGCAAGGAAACTTGATAGAGTCCTCATTAACTCTCATTGGGTCAATTCTTTCAATAAGTCTTATGTTGAATTTTTTGCCCCGTGCCCTTCAGATCATTGTATGGTTCTTACTTGGTTGAACAAAGAAGCTCACATCAATAGAATCAAACCTTTTAAGTTCTTCAATTTCTGGTCTAATCATCATTCTTTTCCTGATGAAGTGAGAAATTCTTGGCAGCATCCTTTTAATGGCAACCCTATGCAAGCTCTTTTTCTTAAGCTTAAAAGGCTTAAGCCTTGTTTACAAGCCTTGAACAAGAACTCCTACAATAATTTATCTGCTAGAGTTAAACTTAAGAAAACAGAGCTGGAGCAAGTCCAAATCTCTACCCTTAAAGGTATCAGTCCGCTTGTGAAGGAACTGGCTGTTCAAAATGAACTTGCTACTCTTGAGGAAGCTGAAAATATATTCCTAATGCAAAAATCTAAAGCCAAGTGGCTTAAGGAGGGAGACAAGTGTACCAAATACTTCAATTCCATTATTGCAACAAAAAATAAAACTGACACCATTAGGGTCCTTATTAATGATCAAGGTAAAAGGCTGGAATCCTTTGAAGATTTGTCTTCTGAAGTCTTAGATTACTTCATGAAACAATTAGGTTCTGTTGATCCTAATTTACAGCAAGCTGATCTTGATTTCTTGAAAAATCTCCTCCAATTCGACATGCCTGCTGATATTTCTTTTGTCTTAGTCAGAAAGGTCACCAATGATGAGATTAAAAATGCCATTTTCAGCCAAGGAAATGACAAATCTCCTGGTCCAGATGGCTTCACTCCTCTATTTTTCAAAAAAGCTTGGTCTGTGGTAGGTGAAGATATTACCAATGCAATCAGATTTTTCTTTGAACATGCTTTCATCCTGCCTGCTTTTAATTCCACGATTATAGCCTTGATTCCTAAGCTTAATAATCCTAGTACTGTCAAGGATTACAGACCTATCTCATGTTGCTCTGTGGTGTACAAAATCATCTCCAAAATCCTTGTTAAAAGGTTGACCTCTCTGTTGCCTGCTCTTATCACTCCTAACCAGTCTGCTTTTATTCGGGGAAGATCTATAATCGATAACACTCTCCTTGCATAGGAGCTTGTTAAAGGATATGGAAGGAAACAAATCTCCCCAAAATGTGCTCTCAAGATTGATCTCCAAAAGGCTTTTGATTCCCTCAATTGGGATTTCAACTCTGCTACTCTCAAAGCCATAGGCCTCCCAAGTATCTTCTTAGATTGGATTGAGGTGTGTTTCAAAGAAGCCATATATTATATCTCCCTCAATGGTAGCTTAGTTGGATATTTCAAATGATAAATGGGGCTCAGACAAGGTGATCCCTTATCCCCTATCTTATTTGTGCTGGCTATGAATATTCTCTCCAAAATCCTTAATCTTGCAGCTTCCAAAGGGATCTTTGGATATCACCTTAAATGCAAAAGAATAGGGCTAACTCATATCTCTTTTGTTGAAGACCTCCTTATGTTCTGCAAAGGAAACCCTAAATCAATTGCTAAATTATTTTCTGTTTTGAACCATTTCTATTCTTTGTTTGGTCTCAAGCTTAATGTTAGCAAGGCTGAACTTTTTTCTGCTGGTATTCCCTCTAGAATCCTTGAAATTATTCACAACATCTCAGGCTTTAAGCAAGGATAACTTCCTGTAAGGTACTTAGGGGTTCAACTTGTCACTAAAAAGTTATATGAACTTGATTGCCAACCTCTTCTGGACAAAATCAAACTTAAGTTGTACCACTAGTCTAGCAAGCTTCTTAGTTACGCTGGTAGACTTGAGTTAATAAAAACCATTATTCACAGTGTGGCCAATTACTGGTGCAGGCAATTCATGCTCCCTCAATGTGTTATTAATCGCATTGATCAACTTTGCTCTCGTTTCCTTTGGAAATGTACTGATCTGGCAACTTCTGGGGCTCGAGTCAGCTGGTCCAGTATCTGCTGTCCTAAATCTGAAGGCGGACTAGGACTAAAGAACTTAAAATCTTGGAACAATACTTATATGATTCATCTCATTCGGAATATTCTGGCAGGAGAAGGATCCCTTTGGGTGGCTTGGCTGAACTGTTATGTTTTCAAGAATAATTTATGTGACATGGATGCAAGCAATGCTCACAGCTGGAGTATTAAAAAACTGCTGAAACTGAGACTAACAGCTCTTTCCATCCTGAATTCTGGAACGATTTACACTAGAGATATTTGGGAAGCTGTTAGAGATAGAAAAAGTAAGGTGTCATGGCATAAAATTATTTGGTTCCCTATGCATATTCCTAAGTTTGGTATGATCTCTTGGATGGCCATCCTAGACATACTTCTAACTAGGGATAGACTGTCAATGATAGGTATTGTCATTGATACTCAATGTGTTCTTTGCAATGAAGCTACCGAATCCATAAACCATCTTTTTGCAGACTGTAACTTTGTCAAAGTATTGTGGAATTCTATCTTAAACTTGGCACTTGTACATAAACCTCATTTACCTTGGGAATCAATGATCGAATGGGCTTGTGTTGAATGGAGGGGAAATCTTTAATCTCCATCTTGCTGAAAATTGCATGGACTTCCTACATCTATATGATTTGGGAGGAGAGGAATGGAAGAATCTTCAAACAAAAAGCTAATGAAGCCGCTCATCTACTGTCTCTCATCAAGGACATTGTTCGGATTCAACTTAGTGGGAAGAATATTAACAGAAATGATTTGAGTAACTATAATATCTGTTGTAATTGGGGTATAAACTAACCATTATTTTGTTGTAAATATTGTTTATACTCCCTTTTGGGACGATTTGTAGTATTTTTCTTATGGATAATAAAATCTTATTTATCCAAAAAAAATATTAGGGTTCTCATATACCGACAACTTTACTTCATTTTTTTTTATGTTTTTAAGATCAATTGAAAAGAAATTAAAAGTGCATGGACTAAAATAGAATTTTATAAAAAATGACTATATAATAAAAACAAAAAAAGTAATGAGCCTAAAATTTTAATTCACTTAAAATTAATTTTTTTATTTTAGTCCTTTCACCTTCATTTCTTTACAATTTGATTCTAAAGTTTTTTTAATAAAAAAACAAACTCGTCCTTATTTATCAACAATTGGAGTACTAATCATTATAGAATTCACCCTACTCCTTCAATAATTTCTCATGGCCTTCATTTTCCCAATTTTATTTTTCAATATCAAATTATCAATATACCTAATTTAACCCAAAGATTAGATGATAGGTGGCATGGGCTGTTTGCTTATTTTGAGAAGCCCCATAATGGCTCAATAACGTGCGATGATCATTTCCATTGAAGCCTAAATAAATGGATCAATATAAGCTATTACGTTGATTGTCCAACTTATTCTAAAAAAATAAAATAATCTTACAGTCTATGGCAACACCATGTGAAAAGATTCCCCACTGAATAACAAGCTCAAAATTGTCTAGTACCATAGTTTCTAAATCTTGAAAATCAAAATATTCTTCACAAAATTTTGTTGTTTACCAATCAAACACTTCAAAGTCTTTGTATTTTCTTCACATGCTTTCTCGTGACTATCCTACCGACTGGAATTTGGATTCACGTCACACATATACATATACATACAAATATATATATATATTATCAACAAGCTTCAAAACCATTGCTATAAATCATCTCGTGTAAGATGGTTGCTTGGCATTGGATTTAGATATAAGTTTTAAAGCAAGAAAAATAGCAATGCATGGTGATAGAGTTCTGGTGCAATGCATGGTTGCAGCATTGTTGCTCGTTGCAGTGGTGGAAGGAACCAACGGGCCGATCATATGCAACATTGCATTGAACAAGCTGGGGCAATGCCGGTCGGCAGTCACCGGCAAATATCCACCACCACCAACAAATGAGTGTTGTAGTTTGATAAAACATGCCAACTTGACTTGTCTCTGCGAGTTCAAGGATGCTCTTCCGGCTCTCAAGATCCAACCTTCACGTGCATTTGCATTGCCTAAGAAATGTAAATCTAATCAGCGCGTGCCACCACAATGCAAACGTAAGTTGTTGAAGATAACAGATTGAAACATGATTTTTATTTCAGTTTATAGAACAGGAATCGAATTCAATTCTAACTGATGTGTTTTTGTTATTTGGCAGCCTAAATCACTTCAAGTTGCAGGCACTGCTGAATTTTATGAATCATGTTGAGATGTTATTTGGATTGTAGCTGTTGTTGAATTTCACTTTCGTGTTGTTGCAAATTACTTCAATTTTCTTATTGTTTTTCACTTATGGCAATCATTAATCACCGAGCACAAATGGTTGCATTATCCAGAAACTAACAGTAATAATTGAAGAGAAAAAAGAAGAAACTTAATCATAAAAGGAGGTTGTCCAAAATCTAGATGTTGATGATCTGTCTAGGGACATATGTATGTGTAAGATAACATCCGACATAAATGTTCAAGTCTTTAAGTCTAAACCACATACAGAAATTAGGGTTCGGGAAAGGAGAAACATGTTATGCCGAGTCCAGGTCCGAACTGACCTGCTGCGCATAACTACTTTCCTGAAATTAGCAAAGGATGAAGTAGCTATCTAACATTCTGATGAACTGCTATGAGGGCCTCCGAATATCGGCCTCATATACTTGTCATCGAACTTCCTCCAATAGTAATGCACCGTGTAGACAGGCCTTTCGAACAACATACTCAAACTATCCTTGGCGCGAAGGATATTGGTTGTGGCAGATTCTTCGAAGGAGAGGAAAGGTAGGGTCAAGTCCTCCATTGGGGATTTCGATCCTTGACCGCCGTCACTCGTGTCAGTTACACGGTTAGGAAGCAGGCAGAGTATAAGGGGCTTTGTTAAGAAACCAAATACCTGAAACAGAATGATTTCCTTAGATGTCAATTACAATATTTGATTTAGCATAAAAAAAAACGTTACTTCTCATTATGTAGAGCATGGCATTATAGAAGTTCCTTCTCAGACTCGAAATCTAACCATCGTACTGAATAGGACAACGATTATGGTGTTAGTTATCATTGCAGCATTAACCGGATCCCATGTAACACCAGAAAATGTGAACTGTAATAATCAAGCAAGAAAATTAGTAGGAAAATGGAATTCCTCTAAGAATAAGTTCAGTTCTATATGCACAGACATTGTTTTAACCGTATCGAGCAGCTAACAGAATTGAGATGTGGTAATAATACCTGTTTAAAAGCCAATGCAATCGATACCGCACCTCGCATTAACCCCGCCCACCAGATAACCACCTGTATAAATAGAATGTTGTTAAACTTGTATTCAACCAATCACACATAGGAGACATCTTACAAGAAGGTTTGAATGGAACAACTGAATCGGTAACCTGGTGTTTAAAAGTTAATGGATGTGGTCTGTTAGGACGCCTGTTCATAAAATTGGAAACAATGGAGAGAGGAAACACAAATGCAGCACGTCCGAGCAATATTAGAAGAACTAAGGTGCCGAAGCTGCCCATCAAAGTCGTATAACTGGAAGAAGCAACTCAAAACTGAGATCAGAAGCTATATGTTAAGCAGATGTATATCGGTTTAGAAGGAAGAAGCTATGTATAAGTAGACACCTCAGTCTAGTCATCTTCCATTTCTCCATATCAAGTGCATCCATTCCTACATAGAGAAAGATGAAGGTTTCTGCAACAAATGACATCATTGCAAATATATGCCTGCGAGAAAATGAAAACGTTGCAATGTTAAGCCTTGTCGAGCTCAATGAACCAAGAAACATAAGTCGGTAATTTCAAAATACACACCTTGTCGTGATTCTTGAGCTTTCGGTCACATTGTACGATGCATAGTGTGACATCAGAATTCCACAGAAGAAAACAGTGAGGATACCACTAAGGTCTAAAAGCTACACAAAGAAATTATTGTCGGGCGAACTCCACTTAGATAACATTAAAATAAAAAAATTTCGGTTGTTACCTCGGCTGACATGTACGACAGATATGCCATTAAAACCATAATAGCAAGTTCACGGACAGTCGAATGTCTGCAAACGGATAAGGATACAAGTTTTACTAGGATGTCTCCACTAGAAAGAAGATAAAATAACGAGCATTACCACATTTTCCGTTGTTACAGGTCCTAACCTTCCGAAATATAAGGTTTTGAGCAAATACGCGGTTACAAGTCCGAACTGCAAGATAACAAGAAACAAAATAGCAGGATTAAGAAGTACCGAGACTTCCTAACATTATACTAAATGATCAGTTAACTCACAGTGACTCCAAGTGCAGTACTCGTTGAGAACAGGTAAATGAAATCACCAATCAACTTGAGAAATGTTTGGCTGTTAATTCTCGTAACATCGATCTTTTGAATCGCGTTGAAGAGAACAACCGATGTTGCATCATTCACTACTCCTTCCCCAAAGACTAGGCTGTATAATAAAGGATTTTCATCTTGATGAAGAACCTATAAGGAAGCCATCGAATCTAAAAGCCTCTTCCAGTGAAATATTAAGCAAAAACAAGATGAAAAATTGCAAACAGACCAACCTGTAATGTACAAACTGTATCTGTTGATGAGAAAATAGTTCCCACAGCTGAAACAAAACAGCATGAAATTCAGACAACTCTAGTAAGAAATTAACCCGGAATTCGAGTATTAGTCGACAACATAAGATCATTAATAACCTCACCCAGGTATTCTCGTGGAGTCAAACCACCAAATCCTAGCTTGGGAAACAGCCACCAACTGCCTAGCAGAAGAGTATCATCCATGAACTTAGAAAAAGAGTTTCACGCAACGCAAGTAGTCGTGCAAATGATACCAAAGTATCTCTAAAGAAACATGAAACAGAAAAACCAAAGCCTAGACGGAATCGAAATTACCAGCTGTAACGATTGCGGAAGAGATAAAAACCCCGATCACTCCGAACAGCATGATGGTTATAAAGTTCTGAAAGAACTGCTTCTTCTTCACCTGAAATCTGCAAGCACAGCAGCAAATAGTGAAGTTCATCGAGTTTCGAAATGCAGGTTAATTCAACAGATAACAAGAAATTAATGAAAATTTTGCATGACACTGGAAGCCGATTTTACCCTGCATTGAATATAATAGGGGGAAGGAGATAAATGAAGAACAGTTGTTCGTCGAATCTTAGGATGTGAGAGCTTTTTCCTTTGCTCAATAACAAGATTACTGTTCCAGCTATGCTTCCCTGAGACCAACAAGATTAAGAACATACTCGAAAGTTGCAGAGAAATGAGAGAAAGAGAGAGGTTTTACAATTATGATTGCAGTGATTGATTCATTCACCCATCGGTTCTCTTCAAACAAATGTCCAATGACTAAACACAGGCAGAGAATTGCCACGAACACTGAAACAGGCACCACCTGCTCGTGCTGATGAGCTAAGTTCGTTATAAACTTAAACATCTCCATTAATGATTCTTCTTTCTTTTACTTAATTTTGCATTCACTATCTGGAAAATGCCGAATTAAAGGGATATTTGATGAATTTTCTGGGAAAATGAGTGTTGGCAATGCCACGTAGGGGTTGAGTTTGCATGGATAATGCCAGGTGCCACTACGAGCATGACTTAAATATAACCTCTTGTTGTCGAATAGGTGTAAAGACTTATCAAAAAATGGATCAAGCTAGTTTTAGAGCTATGTTGTAGTGTCATATGACATTTCCGTGAGCATGACACAACATCAGTTAACAAGTGAGGTAGAAAATAAAAACAACAACGTTAACTTTACGGATAATTTCTAGGATAAACTATGTATTTAGTAATTCACCTGTTGTTTTTATTATGTTTTGATTATTTAACTATTTTTCTTTTAAAACTATATTTAATGTTATATTTTTATTTTATTTTAAGTAATCATCCTTAAAAGATAAACAAAATTACTATCGTGATCATTTTCTTTTTATTTTAATAATAATAATAATATAATATTATTTTATGGTGATATATTAATATCGTCATTTATTATATACAAGATATTGCACTTTTGTACTCATAATTAAACACGTGTTAATATGTAATTTTTCTTGTTAAAATGAAACGGAATGGTATTGTCTAAAAGATTAGACCTTGAGACTATTGTAAATATATTTTTGTAACTATGTTATTTTTTAGGTAAAAACTAGAAAGAGATAAATGAGAAAACATTTTTGCATGTGACAAGAAGAAAAATCCCAACATAAAATCAACGTATAGTGATAACTAATACATGGCTTATAGTACCCATGTGGTTTTCATTTGTCATGCAACATTTGAGATAAATACAGTTTCATTAACACTAATAGTAGGATTAAATATACAAAATGTGTCAAACCTATGTCTATTTTTTCAGTTTATTGCTTAATGTTTATTTCGTTCCAGTTTAGTGTCTAACATTTCATTTCGTTACTCAAAATGGGTCAAGCCGTGACGGGCCATTAATTTTCTTCATTAAGTGACACGTGTCACAATCTGATAATTTAAAAAATTTATATAAAATTAAAAAAGAAAATTATATATATATATTTAAAAAAGAAAACACATAACTTTCGAAATAACCCTAAAACTTTGAAAACTCACGCCAACCGTCGCCCTTTTCCGTAAGCTTACCTCCCTCCGTCGACCAAAACCCCTATGAAATTGTGACTAATCAACGGTCGATTGAAAACGAATCGACGGTTTATACCTCGTGAACCTTAGGATGAAAATCGCAATCCCAAGCGATTTCGACGGTCAATCGACGACAACTATAGCGACTTATAACTAGGATGATGACAAGGACTATGTCGACGGCGGTGGTCGTGACTAGAAAGGGTGACGGCAGGGGGTTAGTGTTAGGATTTGAGGATTTTAGAGATTTTGAGGTTTTTTTTGTAATTTAAAAGAAATAAGGGTTTTTATATAAATATATTAATATTTTTAATAAATTAAATTTTAAAATTACGAAATTATGACACGTGACACTTAACAGAGAAAACTAACGGTCCGTCATAACTTGACTCATTTTGAGTAACAAAATGAAATGTTAGAAATCAAACTGTTAGAAATAAACATTAGACACTAAACTAAAAAAATAGACATAGATTGAACACCTCTTATATATTTAATTCTTAATATTAGTACTGTAATTATAACTTTTAACGTGACAATCCCATGCGGTGACAGATTGGAATTGTATGCAAGAGAAGCTTTCTATGAATATATTAATGCAAAATCCTGGCTTGCTTTCTGTTTTCTGCGACAAAGGTCTTTTAATTATAGATTTTATTAAGTTTTAAATTATAGTAATTAATTAATATAAAACTAAAACTATAATTTATATTTTCCTGTGGAGATTTTCATTAAAGTTATATAAACAACAATCAGTCAATAACTGCATAAATTAGTGCCAATCAAATAATTTGAACTTTCTCATTTAAAAATAAAGGTATAATATCAAAATTAGTCCTAATATTTATTAAAATGGTCTTTTTATCTCTATTTGTTAAAGTATCTTGACCCCATAACGATTCATTTTAGGACAAACAAACCTCTCACGTTTGACTTAATAATCATTTTGGCCTTTATTATTTTTCCTAATTTTTTTTTGACTTTCCACGTTTTATTTTATGGTAAAAATCCTTATTTTTAGCATTAATTATTTGTTAACAAACGATTTTCATCTATAGAGGGATATTTCTACCCAAAATAAAATATTGTGATCAAAATACTACAAAAAAGATTAAAAACCAAAATAATTTTTTAATCAAACATTAAGATAATTTTTTCCATTATGCCAAAATATAAAACAAGGAGTCAATTTCCATTTTGGTTAATAAAAAATTCCAAAACCTTTTTCTCCACAATTAATTATGTTTATTTTTTAAAAAGAAAGTCAGAAAAATATTTTTATTTGTTTTTCGTATTAAAAATATACATAATAAGATATAGTAGGATAAAAATTAATTTTATGTCTAATTAAAATAAATTATAATCGTATAATTAGAGTGGAAATTAAACTCAATATAAATCTCAATCTGAATAAAATTTTATACAAATGGGTGAGATAACAGTGCGCACATACCTAAAAGCACTTAATAGTGCTCACATTAATTAAATAATAATAATTTATATAAACAAATTTGTTCATAACTATAAATGATTTGTATACAATTTATTTAATAAACCTAAAAACACTGTAAACCCATTGACTATTTCAAAATTCCGAAGTGGTAACATGATTTGCCAAAACTTTCAATTTCACCATCAAGAATTGCCTACAGTTTGTTTACAAGCTTCAAAATCTCAAGCCATTTCAATTTTCATTTTTCCATGTGGTGGGAGCCACGAACGAACGTGACCATTTTGCGCGTTTCGGTGCTGTTGGGAAACCAATGACATATTTCCACGTGGATACATGCCAGGTTGACAACGGCCCCACCCCCATGTTGTGGTGGACCCCTTATCTAGCTGTCCTCCAATTAGAAACTCGGTGCACTCCCACAGCCACCCCGCTTTCAGACTCAGTTGCTTGGCTCAGTGGCTCGGATTCTAGAGGGTCGAGCCAATGGGTACAGTTTCTTTTACTGGTTCAGTTTCCGTCATTTATAGAGAGAGATGGCCGGTCTGGTCCGCTATTTGGTTCCGACCGGGTCATGACATTGTTACAATTATGTTACTCGGTTTTGTTTTATATTTGGGTATTATTATAATATATACCCATGTCACTTAACTATGTGTTTGATCATAAATGATTTTTAAATATATTATTTAATTATTTAATTAAAATTTTAGTTTAGACAAGTCATTCTTTGTTAAAAGATAAAATAAATATTTAATATAGTGTAGTATAATAATCTAGTCTCTAAAACTTATATATTTTACAAATTTGATCTTAATTTAAAATAATCCAATAAATTTAATACTTTATATTTTAAATTTCTAATTAAGTTAGTCTTTTTAGTGATATAATTAAATTAAACGAGTCCATCAAATCAAAGTAACAATTAAATAATTGTATTATGTCATAAAGCAACAACAAGTTACTGTTAAACTATTAACTAGGAAAGTAACATGAAAATAAATACTATATTTATGATAAAATAAAAAGCAATTTAAGAGAAGAGAAAAAAAGATAATTTTGATAGATAAAAAATAAATATGGATTGTTAGATTTATTGAATTATTTTAATTTACAACCAATTTGATAGAATATAAAAATTTTAGAAACTAAAATTGTTATTATACTAATTCACATCACTATTTCATCTAATATTTTCCTGTTAATGACATGTTTGTAATAAATTCTTTATTAAATAACTAAATCATAATATTTAAAAATGACTCATTTGTTATTGAACGTTGAAATATTTTTACCCTCGCACCATTTAATACATTTTAATAATATATTTAATTTAAAAAGATTATATATTACTCTTTTTAAAATAATAATTTCTAAAAGTTTATAATAATATAAATATCAACTGAATTGATATTCAATTAACTCTCAATCGGAATTAAATTTTAATAATAAAAATAAATGTTTTGACAAATAACAAATTATATGATTATTTATAATAAATAAAGTTTAAAATAGATAATTAATAACGATGAGTTAATTACTTGTATTATTTAATGTATTATAACGAAAATATATATTATTTGGAAAATGTCCCAAGGGAAAAGAGATTAAGGTAATTGGTTAGAAAGACCTAATTTAGATCAAAGTTAAAATAAATGGACTAAAGTAACTACGTGGAGTACCATATAAATAAAACAATAAATATTGTAAAAGCTGCATTATATCACTTCTAATTTTTTTTAATATATTTAAGAAGGTTTTCAATTACTTCTTTTATTATTTCCAACTAAAAAATAGAGTAAAAGAAAAATCGCAACTTTAAATTTACTACTATTATAATAGTTTTCATTTTATTTTTCTAAAGATCTAATCATGAATTTCACCATTCTACTCTACATAAAATAAAAGGCGGTCAAATACACAAATAGTTCATCGATTATAAGGTGTTGCTTTATCGAGTCCCTTGACTCTTAAAAGTTACAAAATATTCATTCTACTATCGGTGTTGCTTTGTCGAATCCTCCGACTATTAAAAGTTACAAAATGGTCACTCGACTATTAATATTCTAAACTTGTCATTTTCCGTTAAAAATTCGATAATTGTATAAGATATGATAAAAATCTGATCATAAAATCATTTTACATGTATTTTATAGATCAAATCATGTATATATTATGTCGTCGAGTCTGTGCTTGAAATACTAAACTATTGAGCCAATGCTTGAAAGTAACGACTATGCTAGTAGTCATCATTAAAATATAATTTTATCATATCTTAATCAACAGATTAATGTCCAACTCAAACGGGCTATAAATTTTAAACAAAAAATGATGATTTTGAAATATATGAATAGTTAAGTGATCATTTTGTAACTTTTAATAGTAGGAG